CTCACAAGTTAGCTAGATCTCAACTCCAAAGGCAACTGTAAGTTGACTGCTGGAGCTACACATGCTCATATTAGAAGAGAATCCTTCAGTTCCTTTTACAGAGATTGGCTTGTGAAAACCTATATAAAAACCCTTGTATTATAATCTGCAGACTGCTTTAAAACATGTCTGGTTTCTTCCCATGCATTTTATCTGTGAATTAGGCAGGGCTCAGATAAAATGGTACCATTTTATTGGTATCATTGCCCAAGTTATTGAGCAAGGACATTGCAAAGGCAGAACTTGAACCTGGATCTTCTTGCCCCAAGACCTTTGCCCTTCCCAGGGCCCGGTGTGGGCTTCTTGGTTTTAAGTTGTTGCTAAGGTCAAGATTAGACAAGTGCTCATGATGGTGGCAAGCTGTTATCTTTCATTTGTTTGTTTGTTTGGTTTTTCCCTAAAGGGTATTGGTGAGCCTTACGAAAACATGGGCAGTGATTTGTGAACTTTCGGGTGATGGGAAATTACACACTGTATTTCCAAAGTCCCCAGAAAGTTTTCTTCTGGGTGTCTTTAAGAGGTTTGAATGTTTCTGAGAGCAGCTGACCTGAAGTCTTTGGAAAGCTTTGCCACTAACAGAATCATAATGATGGGAACACTTTCCTTCTCTCTGCTTCTCCCTCTTGCTGCCTCCACTCACTCAGTGGTAGTGGTAGTGACGTGGCCCAGTTCCTCTGCACAGTGGCCAGTGCTGGGCTCGACTCAGCCTCAGACTGCATGGGGCTGACAGTGCAGGAGGGGGGACAGGTGAATAACCAGGGAGAGAAGTAAGTAAACAAAATCACTGGAGATTTGCCATTTGGCATGACGGGGGAGGAGAGGATAGTAAACTGTGGTTCAGCAAGAGAGGTCGGGAAAGGGGCATCTCTCTAGGGAGGTGACTTTTGACCTGAGACATAAAGAAGAAAAGGCAGCAATTCACGTGGAGGATGAGTGAGAGCCCAAGCCCTAAAAGAGGATGAATTTGCATGTGTCCAAGGAGTACTGAAGAAGCCAGTGTGCTGGAACATAGTAAACAAAGGCTAGAGGGTGCATGAGAGGACTGAGAGAGGGATGAAGGTGACTCATGAAAGTGTGGATTGTATTCTAGAATCAATGGAAAGCCAGGGGATGGTTTCAAGTGAAGAAGTGATATCAGTAGATTTATTTCAATTAGATAAGTGGATGGATAAATGAACAGATAGATGATAGGAGATAGATAGATAGATAGATAGATAGATAGATGCTAGATGGATTTGAAAGATACAAATTTCCTACTAAATGGCTGGTGGGTTGAAGAAGCAGAAGTGGAGCCAAAGAGGCAAGTTTTAAGGCTGTTGTTGATTTGGTTCTGGTGAAATACTGGTTATGATGTTTGGATGGTGACAGTGTGAATAGAATGACCTCGACACATTTAATATGTCATCTGTAACTTCTGAGGACTGGGCTGTGGGGAAACAGAGCGTCATGCCCTGATGCACTGTGGTCCAACTTGGCCAAGGCCGGGTGGGGTGGAGATGACCATGTGCACAGATCATGCATAACATGGCAGTCGCAACCCATTTTCCCATCACTCCATTGGGGTCCCTGGGACTTGCCGTTGTTCCTTCAGGCTGTGCTTAGCCAGCTTTGAGGATGCAGGGTCGCCGACGTGCCTGGCATAGCTGTTGTGAGAGTAGTGCTGGAGTCCACATCTTCCCTAATAACCTTGTGTCTAAATTGTAGTGTCACACAAGGGCGTGTTCAGAAATTAGCATTTGAAAAGAAGCTTCCTTGCTTTCAGTTTGAGCTGACATGGTCCCTTTTCCTCTGTGGAAATGAAATTTATTAATCATAATAAAACCATCAGAATCTGAAGGTAGAGGTCACCCTGAGGAGAAAAGGCGCCTGCTCATTTACCAGGAATAGTTCAGCGCTGCTGTATTTTTCTTCTGCCCAGGCACAGAACATTGCCAAATTGTTACCTTGGGCTTTCCACTGAAGCTCTGCCCAGTGTTATAAACAAATCAGAATGTACAATTAAAGTACATGAGAGAAAAGGGTGGGAACTACGTTTTCATGCAATGCATTCAGGCCACCACCATGTCGTCTATCAAAAAGAGGAAATCTTTGCCACAGTAAAATCCTCCCCAAATTAAAAGAAAAAATAGTAATTGCTCCGAATTTCCATCTTCATACCCATTTTGAAGGAATATCATGCTGTGGCATCGCATTTACAAGGGTGTTCAGTTTGCTTTTGTCGTTTATGTCATGTTCATACCACCAGCTTTGCTGAGGGAAAGTGCATTAAAATTAATTCTATGATCACTTTTTTTTTTAACCCTCTGGGCTAATGACAACTTTACTTTCTCATGAAATAAAAACTAACGACAAAGTTGTAGCTCATGTCCTTTTCCACTAATTGATACCTACTTCTAATTACTTGGGTTGAGGCCCAGCTTTCAGGAGTGACCACCCGGAATGAATGACTTCTTCCAAAATGTCATCATTCCTCTTGTTTTAACACACCCTCTGTCTTGGATTTCCACCTGTTTTTCCTCCCAGAGAGATAGGCCTTGGAAGGCCTTTTGTGATGAGCCAGAGGGCTGGCGAGTGTCTCAGGGAATGAAGTGCAAGAGGGAGGGTGGACTTTCTGTCTCACTGAGAAACATCCGTTCTCACACTGCTTGTGAGGATCCGAGGAACACACTGTGTTGAAGCAGAAGGCCTCAATCTGGATTATCTGAGCTTGGTGCCCCTTGAACAGGCAAGGAGGACTTGGGAAGAAGACACATCCAATGTGAACTGGCCGAATCCTTTCTTTCCAACTGAAATCTAAACTAGAGCCCATGAGGTAGAAGGATCCTTACCCAATTCTTCCAAACTTTCAGGATTCCATGGTGTAAGCAATCATACCAGCCCATCCAGTACATTCTTTTTGCTTTTCTTAATCTTTATTGTTGAAAGTATTACATATGTCCCCTTTTCCCCTCACTGACTCCTACTAGCCAGCATGGCCCTGCCTTTCCCCCATCCCAGGCCTGCACCATCCTATTTTCTGGGTTATGCATAAATGCATACAGGTTCTTTGAGTAATCTCTTTCCACCCACCCACTTCCCTCTGAGATTCCATAGTCTGTTCATTGCTTCTGTGTCTTTACATCCATTTTGTTCATCAGTTTGTTTTGTTCATTAGATTCCACATATGAGTGAGATCATGTGATACTTGTCTTTCTCTGACTGGCTTATATGAGCCATCTAGTACATATATATAGATGTCAGACAGGAAGAGAGAAGAGAGAAATATCCATGATAAGAAAGAATCATTGATCAACTGCCTCCTGCATGCCCCCTAGTGGGGATTGAGCCAGCAACTGGGGCATGTACCCTGAATGGGATCAAACCATGACCTCCTGGTTCATAGGTCAATGCTCAACCACTGAGCCATGCTAGCCAAGCCCATCCAGTAGATTCTTATTCACCAACTATAAGCAAGAAGATTAGAAGCAAAATTGTGAAAAGATGGGGAAGGAGAACAATAAAGCATGTGCAAATTAGATTCCAAAAGATAAGAGATGGCTTGAGGTTGACAGTAGTTGATAGAACAGACAAACTATTTCTTCCGGCCTTGTTCCTTCATTCTTTAAAGGAGAGTCCAAGAGTCAAAAGCTATGGATAATCCACATATATCCCATTTAGTGACTGGTACCCCCGATCCCACCTGCTAACAGTGCTCAGGTGTTCCTTCTTCAGAGAATTACCTTCTGCCCAAGAAAATCACTTCAATTCAGTCCTTCTCCACCCCCCAGGGAAACCTGCAGCTAATGGTCAACTTGCATGAGCGTAAAAAGCCAACCCCTTTGCGTCCGCTGGGATTAGTTCTGGGGTACTACTCACAGGATCTGGTCAAAGTTAGTCTCTAGTTTAGACTATTTCTCTTTTTCCCTTGCTATTAACTGCCTGCCTCTCTCCTTCTCCTTCTTTACATTCACAAGAATCCTATTTCAGGCTCTTTTGGGGAACCCAAGTTAAGATTGCATCTCAGCTTTGATCATTACTGAAGGAGCAATGTTCAAACTACTGGCAAGGAATTATCTGGCAGGCCATTTAAGTAAGGATACATGCCACCATGGAACCAGCCTTCCAGTGGCTCTGAGAAATTTAAAGATCAGCTCTGATGGTCTAGCTCTGTGATCTTGAGCAAGTGACTTCACCTCTCTGAACCCTAATTTCTGATCTGTGGCATCATTCAGTCCCAGGCATTTAATAGACACTGAATGCATCAGACTTCCTTCCCTTCTTCATTTTTATTCTGAAGCTTGTGCTGAAAGTCATGGCAGAGGAGGGAAGAGGATGGAATACTCAACTGTCATCAAGAAATACTGTTTGAAATGTATCCCTTCCCAGAACCTGGCCATAGGTTGATGAGTTAGAAGTTCTGGGGTGATAGGATTGAAATCAAAGCAGCTTTAATTCTTGAGTGGGGTGGGGTGGCATCCCATAAACCCTCTAAGGCTGCTTCTATTTGAGTGTGTTTTCTCTTTACAAAGATGTTGGACCCTAACTGCAAAGACTGGGTCACTTCACCCATTTTGATTCACCCTTCCTGCTGTGATAGGTGATGGCCAAATTAGGAGAAAAGCACCATATCTCTTGAGTATTTACATGTCCTCTGGGAATACTGGGTTTACTGTGCTTCTTAAAACCATTATTTCATGTTGTTTTGTGTGTGTGTGTTTGTTTGTTTGCCTATGTTGGTCTCCAGGGTAGCTGCATGAACAGTAAGAAAGGTTCCTATGAGAGACCAGCCATGCTACATGGACAAAAGAATGTGCCATGCACAGATGGACTTTTCAAATGTGTGGCAGATAGGAATATGTTTCTTATGTATGAATTTTAATAGGGCCCCTCCACACTGTCTTGGTATTTTGCATTTTATGTTTGCTATTATTACTTTGTAACTGAATATTATGGATTCATCTTCACCTCTGTTTCCCTTTCAGTTACGGACGAGTTTATGCTGCCGACCCCTACCACCACACACTTGCTCCAGCCCCCACCTACGGCGTTGGTGCCATGGTGAGTACCAATTCTTCCTCTTCCTCATTTCTTCCCCCACCCTTCCCTTCCCCAGCTGGGACCTTTGTATGGGTTGACGGTTGATGTCTTCTCACTCTCCCCTTAATTGAATTTGTCTCTTATGCTAATCTAACAGCAGCTAAAATGCCACATTAATCCTCCCAGTAAACTTGATAAATGTCTTAATTTCTTGGCAATGTAGTGCATGTAAGTTATTATATTTCTAATTTTGCCAGTCTCACCTAGCAGAGCACTTACCTTAATGGAATAATTAGTCATTTTGATAATTAAATCCATCACTAACAGAATGCAGTGTCAATGCAGAACTTTTTTTTTTCTTTTTTTTTTCCCTCCCTTGCTGCTCATTCACATAGCCCCAAGGTTCCAGCCCCAGCACAGACTTCAGAGGAGCTAAGCTGCACACTTCCAGGCCTCTGCTGTCAGGCAGCTGAGAATCTGACTGCCTCTCCTCCCCTATTACAATTCATGTTTAAAGTCATAGTCGCCCAGGAAAGAAAATAGAGAGGGGCACACTTTGTGTGTGTGCCTAGTACATAAGGAATTAGAAGGAATCAGCTGGGTTTTGGGGTTGTCTTTTGTTTTTTTTTTGGGTTTGGGTTTTTGTTTGGGGGGTGGGGGAGGGCAAACATGGGAGGTGAGGGTGGGTGAATTTGCCTGTACTTGTTCAAACTTCTATGCACTAAAACTCTTGAGTACAGTAAGACGTGCCCATCATGTGAGAGCGTATGCAATCATTACAAAGCTTTTGGCATGCAGCTTTCTGCTTGGGATCAAGAATCTCAGTCCTTTATCCTAAAACTCAATCCCCATAGGCATTCATTTGAATCGCCAATACCTTTAGAAAAAGGAAATAAATTAAGTGCCACCTCGTAGCCATCTAAAGCCACGACCAGACAATTCGCTGGAGCGTGGCGGTAGAAATTCAGCCAAGACCTGGGGACCATGTTCTTTTGCAAAGCTCAGTTACATCAAGCAGTCCATCCATAGGACTCCCCTCTTGAGCGCAAATTTCATACAGCTCATTGAGCCATGTCAAGTGATTTAAATTTCCATCCTGATTTTGCATTCAACCACTCTGGTTCAACACCTAGTCCACTGGAGTTATGTGTTGGAAAAGAGAGTTTGAATGACTACATTCAGTCAGTCATCTGCATTCGACCTCTTGAGTGTAGATTGAGCTTTTTCCAATGGGAAACATAGTGTTAATGAATCAAATGAGCAAACAGAATGAGACACTGCACATCCTTCAGTGGCCCAGTGTGTCTGAGTCCTTTCAACTACCAGGACTGGCCGACAGATTTGGGTTTCAGAGGGGCTCTCTGTCTGAGGAGCTCTTGGGGAAAGGGGTTAGGATTGGCCCTATCTTCAGTTCTCCAAGAGTGACCTGGGATGGGTAGGGGGAGCCTCCATTTTGGTTGAGTTTGAGTGTCTATTTTTCACATGAATAGTCTTTTTTTGATGATCCCCGTGTTGCAAAAGGAAAATGTAAAAAACACACCCCTCAAATTGCTTTGTTTCAGAATGCTTTTGCACCCTTGACTGATGCCAAGACTAGGAGCCATGCTGATGATGTGGGTCTCGTTCTTTCTTCATTGCAGGCTAGTATATACCGAGGGGGATACAACCGTTTTGCTCCATACTAAATGACAAAAGCATAAAAACCTTCCAATGTGGGGAGAAAGGAAGCTTTCCGAGGCCTGGGTATTGCAATACATGCAGTAGTGCATCATTTTAGCAACTCTAAAAACTAAAAAGAGGAAAAAAAAATACATTTTTTATCTTATACCTCAGATATTTTGTTCTGTGTATTTTACTATTGTGGGTCTTTAATTTCTGAAGGTTCCGTAGTTTGGTTGCTGGCTATAGGAGTTTTGTTTTGTTTTGTTTTGTTTTTGTTTTTGTTTTTGTTGTTTTTTTTGTGGTTGACCTAGAGAGATGCTAGCTATGAAGAAAAACTGGTTTAGGGCCATATCCAGAGTGCTTTATCATGTAAATGAATTATATATGCTGAATAGTAAGCTACTGGGGTTATCAGCTGTTTGGGAAGAGTGTAAGTGACTACAGTAGTCATCTTTTCTGCATCTGCATTATTTTATTTTATGAAAGGGGAAAGGTGGGAGGGGCTTAGGGGATTGGGACTGGAGTTCGACTGAAAGAGAGAAAAAAATAGTAACTGATGAATCTAAACGACCCACTGCACCAACGATCATATAGCAACGGTTCTAAGTTACTCATTGTCAGTTTAGGCCAAAGGTTATGCTGTTAAGGGGATGCTTCTAGCAGCCCTTGTGCATCCAAGTTGAATGAAGCTGTGCAAACCCACCCTTTAACCTTTCCCCCTGGGCAGTATTCAGCTTCTTAACCAGACGCTAGTTATTTAGGCAAAAACTGCTAGTTAGGCCCATCAACAAGCATTCTTTTTATATTTCTTCCAGTATAATAAATTATTGATATCATTGCTGACTTTTATATTATGGGAGGGAAAAAAAATAACATTAATAAAAAGGTGATAAAAAGCACTGTTTCTATTTTTTTCTTTTTTTCCAAAAAAAGAAAGTAATAAAAACTTAAATTCTTTGTACCAGTTAAAAAAATGTATAAAATTTACATCTGTGCAGTGGAGTTGTTAAGTTCTAGAAACAGTCTATGAAGCTTTAGTTTTAGCCTAGTAGAACAAACTGTTAGAGACAGACGTATAATTTTTATGGAATTACATGATAATCATATTCGGATTTCTAGAAGCATTTTACAAGTATTGCAATCATTGAGTAGAGATAATCATGGTATTTTCGTCAGCTTGGTACTTTTTGAAACATGACTGTGTTATGTGAACAAGCTGCAATTTTTCAGTCTGTGAGAGCCTGCCCTCCCTTCTCCCCCTATCCTTTCTGGTCCCCAGTGATGATCTCAAACCGGTAACTTTAGTTCTGTCTACAAGGCCCAGGACACTTGTCAGAAGAAAGCAAAAATGTAAAAGTACCCTCCTTCTTCCCGAAGAACAAAGTCCTCCCCACACCTCAGATGCAGGGCTGGAGCAACACGGCTGAAAAATTGCAGTTTGTCTGGATTACTTCTGTTTGAACGCCTTCCATGTTGTCCTGTTTACAAGTTAACCTGAGTTGGGGTATCTGTCACGGGTCTTCCTGTTTTTGTATTTAAATAAAACAAACAGCAGCAAGCTGTCCCCAGTAGTTTTGCTGCCCTAGTTAAGTCTTCATGTTGTATAGTGCCCGCCATCTGGCAAGCACTTTAGTAAGTTATCAACTCACCGCTGTGAACCTGCCAATCCGCTGTAACAACTCTGCTTTCAAACAAAAACCAAACAAAACTTAAAAAAAAAAAAGTGTTTGTGATCCAGCATTCTTGTCATCCTATGTGCATGCAGTAAGATCGGTTGGATATTAAACCATCAATAAAGTTTCACAAGATTTGAAAACCAAGTTTCTGTAGCTTCGCTATCTAAGGCAGATGAGGGTTGTCTTGAACCCAGAGAGAAAGGGGGGAAACTGCTTAGCAGCCCGAAGTGTATATTAGACGTTCTCTTCAGCAGGCTTCTCTGGGTGGGGGAGGGGAGGGACAGAGGGGTGATTTATAGCATCACTAAGACATTCTCATTCCCTCACCTGGGAAGCAATGTGATGACAGTTGATGTTTAGAAGAGCAACTATTTATTAAAATACTGTGGCATCCTACCCTGGAGGCGGGGAGGGGGGGGGAGAGAGAGAGAGAAAGTATAGGAGGCTAGGGTGAATAAGCAGATTTCTCCCAGTCGCCTCAAATTTCACACTCCAGAATTTGCATTGTGTTTGGAATCACAAACATAGAGTTCTTACTGTGTTGGTTAAAGTAAAATTAATTTGCAGTTTTGATTTTTCTTGATGAGCTGTACTTTTCCCCCATGACTGTACGTAGTTTTAATAAAATCATTTAGAGCAAGTGGGTGCCAACAGGTTGCAGATCTTCTGTCTAGGCACTCCTCCAAGATGCCAACGAGTCATTTTAAAATGTATGTCAGAGATGTAAACAGACATTTTGGATTTTTTAAAACAGTATTTATTTGGAATGTTTTCATTTATCTAAATAACTATTGCTATTATGAATTATGAAAAAAAAGATTACTATCATGTGTGGCCTATAGTGACTTCTTAACACACACATCACGCAATCTGCAAACCCAGAAAATGTGTATATCTGTCTTTAGAAATTAGTGTTTATATCACTTACAGTGGTTTGTGAATAAAGAAAACTGGTTTGTAATATCAAAAAAAAATAAAAGCTTAGTCTGAAAAGGTACCTGTGAGTTGGTGTTCTCAGTCCTTTGGCTTCTGCGTGTTTCTTTCAAGGGTGTGTCCAGCAGGGGGCGTGGTGTGGGCTGTCCAGGTGAGTAGTAGGCTGCCATAGCCCCTGGTGGCGCCCCCTGCAGGTGCACTGCCTATGTGGTGTGGCACACAGGGCTGTTCCCAGCATGGAAATGTCAAGTTTCGGATTAAAACAAAACAACAAAAACAAATTGTGAATTTCAGTGAAACATCTGTCCTAATGATTAATACAACTTTGGGGTGGGGAGAGGTTTGTGTGATGAGGATGAGAAAACCAGTAATGCTAGGGTTACGTTCATGGAGTGCTTAGTATGGGCCACGAATCCAGCTTAGGCTCTTGTGTTCCTTATTTCATTTAATGACTTAAACAAGCGTCCTCAAACTTTTTAAAGTGGGGGCCAGATCACGGTCCCTCAGAGAGCTGGAGGGCCGGACTATATGAACTACTAATTCCTATTGTAACACCTCGGCTGCGCTCACTGCCCAAAAAACCTGGTGGGCCGGATCAGACTCCTCTGCGGGCCGCATGTGGCCCGCGGGCCGTAGTTTGAAGACCCCTGATTCTATCAGGGTGATCTGCCCCATTTAGTTATCTTAATAATATCTTACTTCTATCTCATTCCATTATCTTAATGCCCCTATCAAGTTTTCAATTTGCGGGGTCTGGAAGCCATGTTGGGAGTTTGAATCCCGATTCTGTCACTTGTTAGCTACAGCCCATGGCAAATTCAACCAGAGTTCTGTGCCATGGTTTCCTCATCCATAAACCTGGATGGATAGCAATCCGTGCCTCTTAATATTGTGGAATAAATAAAACAATCTATGCGACAGGCTCACAGCTGTACTTCATCGACTGTAAGCTATGGTTATTTACAGGGAGGAAACTGAGGCAAAGAGAGCTTAACTTATCTGAGATCACACATCAAGCAAGTGGCAAAGCCCGAATCCCAAAACTGGCATACTTCATCCATGGGGGCTCTTTTCTCCTGGCCTGTGAACATTCAACTCTAGAAATGATAGGACTTTCCCTGAGTGCCCCACACAGTCTCACAAGGCACGTTGTCTTCCTAGCAATTATCATACCATGTCACATGTACTTAACAGACCCCTCTCTATAAACTCCTTGTAATATAGAGAACTGGGAGGGTCATAGTCAACTTCCATCACCCTGTGTCAATTGGTCCTTGAAGGCAATATTACCCTTCTTTTGTAAATGAAGACAATGAGAATTAATAAGTCATATGATTTGCCTGAAGTCATGTCTAGCAACAGTGGGAAGCAAGGTCCCATGAGGATCTGTCTGAGCTTGGAGCTTATCCTTCTTCCAAAATTCTGCTCCATTATTTATGATGAGGGTGGTGGGGGTGGGGGTCATGTTAAACCTGGGCTTCTAGTACTCTCCTTACAAAATATGTGAGGCTGTATCAATTTAAACGAAGTTGTCGTGAGCTTTCTCCTGGCATATGGCAAGGAGGGAGATAATTATCTCCTAACATGCTGGCTTTCTAATTGAGTCCCCTCCCTCGCCAAATCAGAGGATGTAAGCATAGATGTGAAGAGCAGTCATTTACGAATCTCCAAAACCAAGCTCTTCTCTAAAGTGAAGGTAAGCCTATAAATTTCATGTGAAGTGTAAAGTGTAAAGTAAATAAGAATGATGGCAGAACTGAAAGGGATGTTTCAAAGACTCCGCCAGCAGATGCAAATGTGTGTCCCCTGAAGTGTGGGCAGAGGTGAGCAAAGAAGCCCAGAGGAAGCCCATGTGCGAGGCACGTGACTGTGTCTAAATTGAGGCTCTTATCTGTGTTTTTCATGGACAATGCTCAGGAGGTAGAGCTTCATCCCACCTGCAATTTTTTTCTTAAAACAATATTTTAATGAAACAGTAAGACCTTCTCCACATTAGAAATAAAATAAAATAAAACAGTGCAGGTGCCGTTTCATTGCTCAGACCACAGTCTCAGTCCCATCCCATTTTCCTACTCAACACCCGGAGGACCTCAATAATACATGGTGACATTGGAAGGCTATTTCTACTTCCTAGAAATCAGGGAGCTCCACTGAGCACTCTGCTTTCCCAGGCCTATCCCAGGCAACCAAACATGCACACACATGCATGTACGCATGCACTCGTGTCTATGTGCATGCTGCACATGCACACACACAGCAAACTTTACTGCTGTGGCAGTGCCCCTTTGAGGTTCCCATGACCTCTTCTCTTAGAAACACCTGATGAGCTTGTTTGAAAAGCAGATTCCTGGGTCCCATCTGCTTTGGGCATGCCCAAGTTTAAAGACCACCATCGTGTGGGAAGGACCACCTTCACCAACTTCCTGAGGGTGCTTTTGTTAGGTTCTCCCTGAAGATCGACTCTCATCATGCCAGGAAGACCAATCAATGTGTATGTGTAGGTATGGGCGCATGCCTATGTTCACTCAAGCATATACCTACCTCTTGCTATATAAGATGCACATTCTCAACCTTGCTCATGACCATCTGATTATTTTCTCACCAATAAAGTTCAGAATCAGTACTGAAAATAGTATTCTAGAAAAGGTAGAATAGTTGTATTCCTGGGAAAACACAAAAAGTCTGGTGTGTGTGTGTGTGTGCGTGTGTGTGTAAATTCGCTACTGGACAATACATGTGCTCCTGCACACACAAATATATATGACTAGAAGCCCGATGCACAAAGATTTGTGCAAAAATGGGCCTTCCTTCCCCTGGCTGCCATCACCATCTTCGCTCCAGCCAGAGCCACCTTTCCACCTTTCCATGCTGCCCAAAGGCCCGAAGCGGCTGGAGCAATGCAGAACACCCCCCAGCTGCTCAGCACCTGTGTATGCAAATAAACCCCCTCCATCTTTATTGGGTTAATTTGGATGCACACTCCTGATTGGCTGTTAGGTGTTGCAAGGGTATAGTCAATTTACATTTTCCTCTTTTATTAGTGTAGATATGTTTGGGAGATTTGTGTGTAAATTCGGCAGGTGCATCCTTTTCTGAAGGACAGGACAATCTCAGGTGCCGCTGCTGAGGCTTCAATCTGATATTCATCTCACAGCCTAAAGCAGAGCCCTTCAGTTCATCTGACATCCCAAGGGATGTAGACTTGGGGTTGAACAGGAGCACTTGGCCCCTTGGCACTTTGGGAGAATCTCCTGGGAGAGCCCAGTCTTACCTCACAGGCTGCATACTCACCACCCAACTGGAAAATTGGCGGTGGGCCACTAAACGGGTATGAAAGTCTCCTTGGCCTCACTGATCAGGCTGCTTTGATCACAGATATCTGGGGTCAGATATCGGGGAGGGGGGGGGGATGATTTCTTGGCAGCAAGGCAGGATTCGGAAGAAAACACCAAGGATTCTTTTAATATTAATAGAGTCTCTTCCTAAAGGGAACAGGGGTGTAGCTTGTACTGAGAATGAAACGAGTAATAAGAAGACTGGCTAACATGGTTTCATTGCAGTTCCAGGCACTTTACAAAACACATATTCAGTCTCTCCACCTCTGTGCACACACCTGTCTGGTATAGGCACCCGTGTGAGAGTCACCTTGAAAATCTTAGCCTCTGTGCTTCCACCCTTTCATCTTTAAAATGTGGATGGGAACAGTACCTCCCTCCAGGGTTCTCGTGGGAATAAGATGTGTTCAAAGATGCATAGCACTTAGCCTGACAGCACTTTTTCTGTTAAATCATTTCTCTACTTATCTGCATAACTTAGAAGAATCCATATACATTTTAGAGATTCAAATAATATGCATAAGTTTTTTTCTCTGATATATGGCATGATTACACAGACGGAACTATACAGTTGTGTACATCTAAAATAAACCTCTTTATACACACACAGATACTAAGTACTTTTCAATGTATAATATTTTTATTTGTATGCATTAGCATAACTACACTGTATTAGGGAACCATAAACATAGATGCTAATTCTTACAAAGCACTTAGATCCTGACAGAGTAAGCCATCAGCAAATGAGACTTATTACTATTATTATCCCAATGAATTCTCCCAAAATGGCAAGCGAGGTACTATCATTACCCCAGTCTGCCCAGCAGGAAGCAGAACCTCCGGCAACCCTGGCAGCATGCCCAAGGCACAGGGCTCCAGGCGGTAGCGAGGAGCCATGGGCATGGGCTGCCTGACGGCCAAGTTCTTGCTGCTACAATGCTTCACACACACCTTGCCATTCGCTCCCCACGGCAGCCCAGGCAAGCCCTTTGCCCCACATCGAAGAGCTTACAAGGGGTGGGAGTCAGAGCCAACCCCAGTGTTCCCAGCTTCACTGCACACTTCACTTAACAACTGCAGAGCAGGAGGGAGCTTGTTTAGTCGGTGGGATAGCAAGAGGTCCCAGGATCCAGGTCTGAGAATGCGGCCACCCTGCCATGGTCATCCCTCAAAACGCACAGCAGGTGCCCGTGACTATGACACTCAAGCTCTCTGAGGGACACGGGCAGATGCTGTGTTACCTAAAGGAAGTAAAAGGGTAGCAAGAGAAGACAAGCCCCCAGGCTCCAGACAAGAGTAAAACACAAGGGCTTCAAGGCAGAAACTATAAGAGCAGAGACCCGAGAAGTAGGGTAATGGTGGCGCTGTAGGCAGGTGGCGGTTGACAGGGTGCAGAATGCCAATTGGCAGCTCATCAGCATGGAGGTCCTAGAAAACCTTACAAGGAAAGGTAACAACAACAACAAAATAGTAATAATAAGTCCAAACCAAACAAAGAAAACCTGCCTGAAAGCAGGCGGCAAGGACTGCAAAGGAAACCCTCACACTCACATCCAGAAAGTCAGACTCTCTGCAGCCACGCCAGGAAGTCATCTAGAACTGAAAGCAGGTCAGAGTCACTGCCTGCAGCTGGCCCTTTATCTCCCCCAAACACTCCCAGGCGGGAGCCGCTGAAATCCATTACTAAGCAGGATTCCAGCACCGTGCACACCGCTACTCAGCCAGGAGG